GTACTCCAAATTACGGTGATCATTTTAATTGCAGTGCGCCAGACGAAGCCAACAGCTCAATTTCCAATTACAAATGAGCGAGCTAAAGAGCAACAGAGACAGAGATAGACATGTGTGTGTGCGTGTGTGTGTGTGTGTACATTTTAAATCAATTAAAAAGAGCTTTCTAACAAGCTTTGCCCGTTCGTTAAGTATGTTTGAGCTTGCGCTGGAATGGGGCGTGTTTTGTGAGCATTGCAACATGTTGCTGGGCTCATGTTGCTGGCTCAGCTCAAATGTTGCTGGTCGTCAAGTGGGCTCTGCTCATTGGTTCGTGCTTAGGCGTGGGCGTATGAGTAGCTTTTTATTTCCTTCCTATGTTTTCACTTGATGCGCACTTCATTTTTCATTTCATTTTCATTTTGTATTTACTTTAGAGCGCTTGCTGTTGCGCTGTTTAAATGGCGTTTTATTTTATTGGCCATATTTGTGCTCTGTCATGCATTGTTTGCCTTTGACTGAACAACTCTATACACAACTGGCTTAGCTGCTCTTTACTCAGTTGCTGTTGCTGTTGCTACTGCCACACTAAGCTGTCCATTATCAATGCGTATCACGTTGTTGCTCTTCGTTGTTGTTGCTGTTGTTGAAGTTGTTGAAGTGTGCTTAAATGGCGTCAGCAAGACATTTGCTAGTTTAATGTGTTGGGCTCCAATCCAACACACACACACACACACACTCACACATGGGCTGCATGGCGCAGCAACCAAAATGAAAGCCAACATTTTGTGCAAATAACAAACAGATGGCTAATAAAGAAGTCCACTTCAGGTCGCGCTCTCTGTGTGTGTGCGTGTGTGAGTGTGGGTGCACTGCAGGGCAGATCAGGGCGTGGCTGTGCACACAATTTGTTTACACTTGAATTTCTGCAATTTTGTTTAGTTAACTTTGCGAGCGCTCGCCGCAGGGACGCCCATAGGCACACACGAGGTCTTATCGCTGCGGTGACAACTGAGTTGATATAGCTGCCCCAGGAGGAGCAGGAAGGGAGCCGAGGAGTAGGGGGCGCCACTTTAAAACTCCATCAGCTTTCAGTGTGTCTGTGTGTGTAAGTAATAAGCGTGACTAAAGCTAAATAAACAATCACAATCACGCACACACACACATGCACACAGAGTAAGACTGGCGCCCATTGTGACCGCCATTGCTGCAACTCCCCCTCACACTCTCTCGCTGCTGGCTGCTCGCCCTCACATATTCCCCTCTCCCTCTCTCTCACCCACTCTATCATTCTCGCTCGCTCTGCTACGTTGCATTTAATACAATATGGCAATTGTTATTGTTGTTGCCTGGCTGTTGGTTTTTGTAGTTCACGCTTTTGTTATTCGCATTGTTTTATTTGGTGTTAAAACGGTTGTCATAATTATGCAGCTGCAAACAAAAAAACAAACAAAAAAAAAAAAAAAAACAAAAATGAGAAGGAAAGAATGAACAAAAAACAAAAGTGTCAATGAATCATATTTCCACTGGCATTGCACATTTTCAGTTTTCACAGTTTTCTTATTTTACAGCTATTTGCATTTTGCATTTTAAGCTCACAATGAACAGCGCTCAGCACTCGGCGCAGCGCCAGCAAAAAGTGTCCGAGTACAGCGAATGAGCGCCATTTAATAATGCTTCCTCGTCTCGTTTATTGTTTAATAATGTAATTAAGCATATCGCACACACACACACACATTCTCACACGGTTTATCTGCCATCTCGCTCGCACCCATTTTCGCTTGCCTTGCACTTAATTCTTTCTGGCGCGTATCTCATAGATACTTCTGCTGTATCTGTATCTGTCGCTCGCAAATGACACGGCGCTGTTCCAGTTTTTCCAAACATTTGCTTACAAGCATGTTTCGCTGTTTCGCAGCCCGTAGCGCCATGTTTAGGTTTTTTGGGCGCTGCTTGGGCCCCAAGTGCCCCCCCCCTCTCCCTCCCCTCCGCTTAACAATAAGTTGGCTTGCCAGATTTTTAATTTGACGTCTAGCTTCATTAATGAAACTCACTTCGTGCTGCTGAGCCAGCAAATGAATGGCCATAAAGTGCTTTGCCGCAAAGATGATCATAAAATGTTTGATTTTTTCTTCTCTTCTGCTATTTTGTTTTATTTTTTTGTTTTTAGTAATTGCACAAGACATAAACGGGCAGCTATTAGCACTGGCTAATTCGGCAGGGCTGCCAAATTCAAGACGCGACGCTTGTTTCGTGTGTGGCAAGTTCTGAGTCTCATCAGCGCTAATAAAGTTGTACTTTTTGCTGTACTACGTAGCTTATATAAAGTCCTAGAGGCAATTATTAGGCAACTTTATATATAGACTACTCACTATAATCGTGCCAACATCAGCTCAAAGTTCTCTCCCACTCAAGGGTCGAATTAACACTTCATTTCATATGAATTCACTTCGACTGCATCGCTTTTCTCTTCCTTAAGCGCCTTTTCCTTGTGTATATAAAAATATATGAAAATCTCTAGCCATAAATCATAAATCTCTTTCTCGGCATTTTCTGCGCAGTTCCTTTTCGCGTGCTAACGAGGCGACCCCACTTGGAGCCTTGAGCGGGCGTCAAAATTTATGTTATTTTTTCTGATATTTTTTTGTTATTTTTTGTTATTTTTAATTTATGCAAAACCTAAAACCCAATGTTTGTTGGCACAAAAAGCAAAAAAAAAGAAAAGGGTTAACATTGCCATGGAGCAAAAGTTTTTCGCATAGTTGTCAGCGCTGCGTTGTTTAATTACGCTAATTAAGAATATTAATTGCCCTTCGCCGTTCTCCGTTCGCTATTCGTTTGGGGTCTATTTTTTTCTGGTTCTGCTGTGCAACAGAAAATAGAACATGAGTTATGATTATATGGCACATAACGAGCAAAGTTTTTAGCATTTCCATTTAAGTTGTAAAATCGAAAAAGTTAATAACAACTTTAAGCAGACAAAGGCCGGCACACGCACTCCATTAAACGAGTGCGCCAGACAATGAATGAACATGCGACAACAGCAACAATAACAAGCCACTAACTGGCGCAGTGTTTGGGCAGGAGGAGGAGAGTCGGGGCCTCTGGCAGGAGGCGGAGGGGGAGGCTGACACAGGTGTCCATGTCGCCGGCACTTCAACACCCGAGCAACTGCCTGCCACAACTCGTGCGGCGCGCTCGTTCGTTGGACTCTTTTCATTTTCTCAACACGTAACACAAACACGTGACCGTTAAGGACACGGACACGGCTACTGCTCCAGCTCCTGCTCCTGCCACGGCTCCTGTTGTAGGCGCAAATTGCAAACAGAAGGACAACAGCAGCGACAACGACCCACCATAAACTGCCAGCTTATGTCAGATACAAAGCCAACTCAGCCAACTCAGCTGAGTTGGGGCTGCCACCCCATAGTGCTAGCCAAAAGGCAAGTGAAGCGTGCAGCGTACAAGAACTCGTAGTTCAGGCAGCGCCTCCACTCTCCGCCCTCCGCCCTCCCCCTTCTGTCGGCTGGGTGCGTGTGTGCACAATATTCATATATCACAAGGATAAGCGCAATGCAGCAAACGTCCTTCCAGACGTGCCGTCGCTGCCAGCCTGCACTGCCGCTGTCCTGTGCCATCCAGTTGGCACTGACCACCGACCACTGGACACTGGACACACTGGCCACTGGGCACGGGAGCTCGACTAAACTTCATGTGTGTAACTTTTAATTATTTGCGAATGTTGGCGCCAGACGTCGGCTTAGGATGCTGTGTGCCCCTGTTACCAAGCGACCATTCATTGATTTCCACTTGCCTTTGAATGACCAGCGGCGCATGGTGAAAGGCCAGAGGAGAGCGGAGAGCAGCTAGCGCAAAGAGAGAGAGAGAGAGAGAGATAGAGAGAGAGAGAGAGAGAGAGAGAGAGACGAATGCGACGACAGGCGGCGGTCAAGGCAATGTCATAAACTTGAGCACCATAAAATTTGCTGGCAGCGCAATAAAAAAAGCCACAGCGGGAGATGGAGATGGAGATGTAGTTGTTGGCGTCGCCATCGCTAGTGCCAGTTGTGCCAGGTTTAAGTCCAAGTCCAGGGCGTGACCAGGGAGCAGCAGATTTAGCGACAAACGGCAAACGGCAAACGCATAAAACTAACGCAGCGTAAACGACGGCGGCGACGTTGTCTGTTTTGGCAGCGCCAGCGAAAATTTATCTTATTTATTTGTTGAGCGAAAGCCAAGAGCAAGTGCAGCATTTTGATGCTTGACTGATTGGACTCAGTTTATGGGGCGCCACGGCTCTGCCAGCTGCAGCTTGCAAGCGGCGCGCTGCCGGCGTTGCCAGTCGAGCGAGCGGAGGCTGCAGCGGCAGAGCTGACAGCTTTAAGGAATGCTGAATCCAATCACGCTTAGCTCAAAAATCGGGGCTGGGAATCAACTATATATTGCGTACATTTGCAATCATGCATATTTTGTATTGCAGATCAATTCTATTTTCCATGAATTATTGTAGCTGAATTAGCGCCCTTTAGCTTTTATTTAAGTAATGTCTTTTAGCTTGTTAGCTTGTTTCTGACTGCAGTTTCACGCTAAAAAGAAAACGGCCAAGACTTTAGGGTGCAGTGCTGCCAGACCGTCTCAATTGCCGTAGTGCGAGGAGGACAGCGATTGTCCGCTGTGCTTTGACAGCAAGAGATTGTTTTTCCTGAATATCGATGAATATTTTGCAGTTTGAAGTTTGGCATTCAGTGCTAAAATCCTTGCTGAAGCACGCCAAAATATTTGAAAAGGAAATCGTCATCTAACAAAAGCAATTAACAACACTAACTAACAGCTTGCTTACTGATTTTCTAATTGACTAACCAAAGATAAATAATAATTATTATGCCGGTATGGCAACTATACAAAGCGAACAGCTTGCTCATTAATGAACTGTTTCAGCTTACATATCGAACTACATAAATAGATTTACAGCTATGCAACAGTTTGGTTCAATTGCGCGTCTTCTTTTTGTTTACTTGCAGCCGAATCGCACGCGCCAGGTCGCCCGCAAGAATCCCCGGCCGCGCAAGGTTAGGCAGCTGAATAATCGCCAGAAGGTTGCCAGCAGGACGCCCACGCCACAAAAAGTTGACCTAATGACGATGGCAGAAGGCACCGACCCCATGGGGCATCATCATCACGCCGCCGGCTCGCACAACCCCCACCACTATCACCACCATCCGCATCCGCACCCACATCCGCACGCGCACCAGCACCACCACCCGGCGCAGTACCACCACCCCAGTCAGCACTACGCGCCCGCGCAGCAGCCGGCGGCGGCGGCGGCAGCTGCTGCCTCCCACTATGCGAACTACGCCCAGCTGCAGTACCGCCATCCCATGCCCCACCAGCACCTGCCGCTGGCCCTCAGYCTGCACCAGCAGGCGGCGGCGGCTGCCGCCTCCGCAGCGGTCGCAGCTGCTGTTGCCAGCGCCGAGCAGCACAACAACAACCAGCCGTTCGTGGCCAACAACAACATCGTGCCGTGGAAGCAGCGCAAGCGCAAGCGCCTCTCGGCTGTGCTCGACAAGCTCCACCACCACAACAACAACAACAACAACAATAATAATAATAACAACAACAACAATACAAATAATAATAACAACAACAACAATGGCGTCGCCTGCAAAACGGAGCCCATGGATATGGACGAGCGGGACATCGAAGAGATGGAGGCCGATGGAGAGAACGAGGACAACGGCGATGCAGCGCATGATGCCATGCAGAAACACGAGGCTAACTACATTAAGCGGGAGCAGCGCGAGGCACTGGCAGCGGCCAGCGATGAGGAGCAAATCGAGGCCGAGGCTGAGCTCTCCGCGGAGGAGCTGTCGCACTCGGACCAGGACGAGCAGGAGAGCCCGCGGATCAGCATGAGTCCGCTGCAGGTGGCCGCGACGCCCTCCTCGAAGCCAGCTCCCGACATGGCCACAGATGCCAAGGAGAACCCGCTGCACGTGGACATCAAGACTGAGCCCATGCCAAGCCCGTACGATCGCTACTTTCCCATACCCTCGCCGCTGTTTGGCTACTATCTGCACACCAAGTATCTGAACGAGGTGTTCCGGCGGCGTCACGATCTGTACCCCTCGCCGCTGCAGCACACGCCCTCCTCCATTGCCTCCGAGACGGAGACCTCGCCCACCAGCCAGGGCAAAACGCCGACCAGCAACAGCAACAGCAGCAGCAGCAATAACATCAATGGCAGCCAGCAGCAACAGTTGCTGCCGGGCGTGCTGATCAATGCCTCGCCGCCACCCTCGCTGCCCTCGCCGCCGCGCAGCGACTCCTCGGTGACAGCAGCGCAGCCCACGCGGCTCAGCCCGAAGCCGGCCAAGAAGAAGAGCTCCGCCTCCTCCGGCGAGAAGCCCATGCCGCCGCCGCAGGAGCGTCCATTGGACCTGTGCATGCGCAGCGACTTCTTCGGCGACCCGAAGAAGTTCAAGTCGGGCTCGCCGCCTCTGCACGCCGCCAATGCGTCCATGATGCCGCCTCCGGCCGCATCGATGAGCGCCGCCAGCAGCCTGGAGAGCATGAATGCGCTCTCGCCGGCATCGAGCACGCACTCGAGCACCTCGCTGACCAGCACCACGCCCACGTCGACCCTGGCGCCGCCCTCGGCAATGTCGCCGTACGCCATGACGGCAGCGGCGGCACACGCAGCAGCGGCTGCGGCGGCAGCAGCGATGATCAAGATGGAGATGCCGATGCATCCGCTGCACTCGCACGTGCCCACCACGACGGTAGGCGTGCCGGTGATCAAGGGGGATGTGGCCTCGCCCACCACCAAGGAGACGGTGGCCTGGCGCTACAACCTGGACGTGTCGCCGGTGGTGGAGGAGATGCCGCCCGGCTCGGACGTGGCCTATGTGTGCCCGACATGCGGGCAGATGTTCTCGCTGCACGATCGGCTGGCCAAGCACATGGCCTCACGCCACAAGTCGCGCAATCCCGCCAACGACATAACCAAAGCCTACTCCTGCGACGTTTGCCATCGCTCGTTTGCCCGCTCCGACATGCTGACCCGTCACATGCGCCTGCACACCGGCGTCAAGCCGTACACCTGCAAGGTGTGCGGCCAGGTCTTCTCGCGTTCCGACCACCTGTCCACGCACCAGCGCACCCACACCGGCGAGAAGCCCTACAAGTGCCCGCAGTGCCCGTACGCCGCCTGCCGTCGCGACATGATCACGCGCCACATGCGCACCCACACACGCTACGAGTCGCGTGGCTCCGGAGGCGGCGGTGGTGCGGGTGGTGCGGGTGGCGGTGGTGGCGGTAGCGGTGGTGGTGGAGGTGGTGGGGGCAACCGGGGCGAACAGGCCAAGTCACCGATGCCGCTGCTGGACATGAAAATGAACATGAATCTGCCACTGCTGCTGCAGCAGGAGGAGCTGCTGCAGAAGTCGCCCCTCGGCATGGGCGGACCCATGCCCATTGTGGTAAAGACGGAGAGTGCCTAACGGTACCTCTACGCGGCCGCGGCTAGACAGTTCATGACCTTCTAGAAGAGTCACTAGAGTTGCCCAGCTTAGTGCCAGTCGAGCCCATAGATCAGTTGTAGCTTCCCGCTACGCACAACTCTGAAAATCTCTCTGCGAAGACTGAGAACCTAATTACTACCTACTGTTAAAGGCTTAGGTTTACACACACACACACACGCACGCACATAGACACACGTATATATGTATGTGTTTATATATATAAATTAAAGTTAAAGATTTATTTTACATTTTACTCAAGCATCCCACACATACACACACACACACACACACGCAAGAGACACACACAGCACACAGACGGAGTTAACTCAGACCACCTCCCAACGTATTAGCGTTTAAATTAGTTGTAGAGCAACTGGAGCTGGGGCGGGCTCAGTTGGTATTTCGTAGTATTGTATTTTTGGATAATGTTGTTTACAACGTTCAGATACAGCTAGCAATTCCATGTTCCACAATTTAGCAGTTAGTTAACGTCATAATGAACCGACACTCTTACGCATAGTACATATGGGCGCTAGCTAGACCTAGTTCGTTAGCTAGTTTCGTTAATAATGTTAGTTAGACACATAGTTGGGGAGAGGAGAGCGGAGTGAAGAGAGGTCGGAGCTCGGCCTCTGGGCATTTTTGAACAACATTGAAATTATTAAGCTAGGCATGCAACCCATCTAGGCTACGTTCGCCATAGATCTTAACGTATTTGTATTTAGTAATTGAAAGCAAAGCGGACAAACCATAAACAAAACGTTAGCTATTATTTTATTATTATTTATAATTTATTTGTAATTACGATTAACATAAATGTACGCTAATTTATTTTAGGCTATTCTACTCGGCAGCATTGCGCATTTAGCTATTAACGTCTTGGCGCCTAAAAGACAACGATTTGTATTAATTTAATTATAGTTTTACAATTTTACACGCAGAAAAAGACAAAGAATTCTCCCTAGGGCACAAAAACTAAGACATTTCAATTTCGTACGTGAGGCGATTGCAAAGCTAAATTAATAATTATTTCTATGTTATTATTTCTATTTTATTTTTTGTTTAACAAAAATCTCTCTTTTTATAACTTACAAAATAAAAATGTATCATTTTATATTTTTGGTTTTCATGCAATGAAATAAAAACTTCCTGTTTTTTAGTTCAATTTTATATTCAATAAAACATTCTTGGCCAATCCGAAGCAATGCAAAAAAAAACAAAAAAGACAAAAAAAAAATTATTAAAAACTTTAAATTAAAAATTATAAATTATATGGCAAGTTTCTGTTTTGCCAATATTATAAATTCTTTTTATAACTGTTTCAAGTTGAAGTTTTTGTTATTTATTACCATTTTTCTGAGCGCATGATATATTGATTATTAATTTTAATTATCCGTTTAAATAAATTATTAATTTATGTTGTAGTTCGTTATGATTAGTTTCAAAAGTTCAAATGTTTTTGAAAAATAAAACAAACAAGACAAAAAAACAAAAAATAAAAAATAAAAACACAAAAAATACTATCAAATACAGACAAACAAAAAACAATACACATAAATCTTTATTTATTTTCTTTTTATGGCACACTGCTATAATTCTTATTTTGTTTATAGCAACTCGAATTTGAGGCGTAACCGCAGACACAGCATAAATTATTGGATCAAGATTGCCGTAAGACAGATCATAGGTAAATCTGGGTTACCTTGGCCGCATCAAATGTCTGCTTGAGCATTCGACCCCAGCGACATCTTTCCCCTCGTCCCTCCCACTCCACCTGTACTCTTATCGTGGCCGGGGTGGGGCTGCCGAAGTCCTTTTGCCCCGGAAACTGGCTTACAAGCTTTTAGGCAATCGAAGGCGCTTACATGGCAAATGGCGAAGCCGCAGCTGGTCACGAAATTGCAGTCTGGCACGCAGCAGACGAATGGCCCCCAAATGGCCCCTCGCAAGAGTTTTCGGGCCAGTTTTCCCACGCTTTGCCACCTGCGACCTGCGGGGGTGCCCAATTTCCCCGTGCCTGGGGCGACGCGCAAATTTCTTTAGGCTTAATGGCCAAACGACACGAAGCCGACCGCCGGGTGGGCGGGGGCGTGGGCGGCCCTGGAGCCTGGTGGGTCCACCTGCGACTGCTGCAATGCAGTTTGCGGCTAATGTCTGACCTTGTTTTCCAATGACTAAATTAATTTCTTAATAAGTGAAGGGGTGCAGACGAGTCGCCACGCAAAACAAACACGAACTGCAGTCATGGCACAGTTTAACTTTTGGGTTAATTGTGGCAGCACCCCTGCCTGTGTGTCCCCACCCAGCCTTGCCGTGCCCTGCCTTGGCTTGTTTGCAATTAAGCAAAGGCAAAAGTTTTTGGTGGCAGCTTTAAAGCGACGTAATTGAAAGACATTGCGGGATCGGGCCATAGCCGCAACTGCAGCGACCCATTAATCACGGCCGCCGACTAAGTAGCCAAGCTCTAGTCATGTTGCACGCTGCACTCTGCGCAGTGGCAGGAGCAGGGGCAGGGCTCGAGGGAGTCTGTTGTGACTTATGGTTAGCCAGAGATTCGAACCGGGGGCCACTGAATTATCAGGCGCACATGGCTGACGTCGCATTGCATAATCCATTGCGTACCCCACTTCCCACTTTCCATTCCCCTTTCCCCTTCCCCATCCATCAGTCGCCATTCTGTGGACCGTGCATCATTTTGGATGCCGCCGCCCGGTTGACATTATTTGCAGCTCGGCCTGGATTTTTGCACGCATAAATCTCTAAGCAAGCGCGCGTGTCGTGCGTTTATTATCACTTCCGTCTGGCGGACGGGACGGCCGGGCAGCCCAGCTAGCTGTTAAAGCAACTCCTTTGTCTTTTTGGGCATCGCGAAATTTATCGCCGTCATTTGTAATTGTAGCGCGAAAATTGAGTTTGAAGTTTGTCTGTTGTGTTGCGTGTGTGGTGTGTGTGGTGTGTGTTGTGTGTGTTGCGTGTGTTGGTGCGGCTTAGAGAGGCTCGTTGTTGTTCGGCTCGGTTCGGTTCGGCTGATTCTGTGGCCCAAGTTTATTGTTTTCATCAGCATAATTCTTTGGCACTGCGCTTTGGAGCCAGTCCAAATGATTGTTAGCCAAAGATTTAGTGCTGGCAAAAAGGTGGCACTAAGCTGGGTATTTCCAGCTCCTAACATAGTTTCGCAAATGCCAGGCCATAAATAAATGTTGCAGACAGATATTATATATAGATATGTATGTAAATTTAGTATATTTCCGTCACACGGAAGTGCCTTAAAACCCAATTTTTGATACGCATTAATCTCGAATGAGTTATTGATAATGTACATATACAAATACATGTAGATATACTATATATATACAATAATATATGGATATCAAGGCATTGTAAATTATGCGGTTTTTTGCAGAGAAATCAACTTTTTGACTAATACTAATTACATAGATAACTATTTACCAAGCATACGTACCATGTTTTAAATAAATATAAGCCTAAACATTTTTCAACTGCTTCTAAGAAGTTTAAGATTTAAGCATTCAATGCTGCTTTATAAGCATACAAAAAAAAAAAAAAAAAAACGAGTCAAGTATTTTTTATCAAAATCCATTTACTCAAAGTGAACAACTCAATTTCGGAGATAAATAAAGCAAAGCAAAAAACTTTTTAAATGTAAAAATATATAAGTAATCCTAAAAGCAAAAAAAAAAAAAAAAAGGACAATTTATGAAATTAAAATTTTACTCGAATCGCTTCCACACATATTTTTATAGTGCTTTTCGAATTTTACCTTCAATGAATTACAATTAAACTAAAACTTAATTATAAAGCAGAGTTTGTAAATTAAACAACAATTAAAAGACTTTTTCAACTCTTAGCTTACATTTGCCTTCTAGACCTAAGAATGCAAATCCAAGATTTATGCAACGTAAACCAAATTAAATAAAAGATAACATTAATCGAAACAATTGTATTAGACTTAAGGACATTTAGTTTATTTTAAGCAACGCAATAATACATCAAAAGGAGAATCAGTGAACAACATTGTGATATTAGTTGACAACAAAATCAAATTACTTCCATGCCCTTTCTATATCATTTGCCGATCAGGTCTGAGCCTTATTGTTTGACGAGTTAGCTTGTTCTTTGAGGTGCTGCATTTTGAGGAATGTTTTATGGTGCTATGTAAACTAATGCTTAGCTAGATTAAGTTAGTTCGCCGACCTGTAGTTGTGGTTTAAATCGACAATCCTTAGCAGCCATAAAAACGAAAATAATTAACTCTAACTAGAAACCAGTCAAGTACTTATAGGAAAGGAAACTAACTCTCTTTGAAACTAGATCCATTATTTAAATGCATGCCCTTTCGTAAGGTTTAAATTATGAATAACTACTGTAAAAATTAGTTTTCTTGAACAACAATTAAACGAAACTAGGATACTTTTCAAGGACTCTCAGCCAGCCACTTCTTAAATAAATAATGAGAAAMGAGAAAATAATAAAAATAAAAATAAATAAAATTATGCAGCTGAAGTTTGTGGAATGCGAAAATAATGCAAATGCCTTTGGCCGCCGGTGTTTGCCTGAATGCAATCAGTGCAGATTATGTGGCGGCTGTGCAGGGGGCAGGCACGAAGGAGGGGGCAAGCGGGGGGCGAAGGGTTGAAGAAATAATGCGCGTAATAACAAACTACAGGCGTAACTGAAATGGCAGGCTACTGCGCATTTGTCCAGCCGATGGGCGACGGCGATGGCAATGGCGAAGGCGAAGGCGTTGGCCAAGACGGACGACGGGAGGCGCAACTGCGGTAATTACAATTGCCGCCGGACATGGACAGCAGTAGCCACAGCAGCAATGGAAATAGCAGTGGCAGTGGCAGTGGCAGTGGCACAGCTGCGTCCGTGTTGCATCAACGCAACAGATCTTGAAGCATCCTCGCTCGCCCAAGACAATTATATGCTGCCAAAGACGCATGCGCAGCTGAGGCAGCAGCAGCAGCAGCCGAGGCAGAAGCAGAAGCAGCAACAGCTTCCTGACTGCATTTTGTTTTTACGTTTTTATTTGAGCAAATTGCTGGCAACTTTGCGGACTGTGACTGACTGAATGATAGACTCACTGACTGCTTGACTTTCAGACTTTCAGGTTGACTAAATGACTGACTGTCTGACAGTTGCTGCTGCTGCTGCTGCTGCTGTTGATGGTGGTGCAGTTTCGCTCCAATTGCAATTTGTTGCTGCCCTGTTGCCTGCAAGAAAAAATATGCAAAAATTGCTACGTGCGGGCGTTTTGCACAAGAATCTCGGACCGGAGACCAGCCGGCAACGATAATGATGATTGCAGCTAAATTATGATGCCCCGATGCGAGTGCAGAGCTCAGCAGAGAAAGTGTAGCACACACCAACACACACACACACACACACACACATACACATGCAAACAGTTCACACAGAAGCTGACTGCAACATCATCAGACCACGGCCATCGAAGGGACTTAGCGGCTTTATTTAGCATAACTCGCATCGCCATTGGGGCCGCAACAGCAGCAGCAGCAAGAGCAACAACTTTAGCAACAACAACAACAACAAGATTAGCAAAACGTAATAATTGCAAAGCAGTTTGCCGCAGGTGTGCCACCCGCCTTTGTCCAGGACCCGTACCCGTACTTAACCGGCTGCCTCACAGAGATGAGCACGCCCGATAAAGCAGCAACAACAAGGTAGTGCTTTTTTCCCTGTTGTAGCAACATCGGATGCTGGCAACGTCGCGTATTAAATGCATTTGATCCTTGATGCTGTTGAAAATGAACTGAGCTCGAACATGCAATCAAGTGGCCCCCGCGCGCCTCACCTGTGCGCCCTGGCCATCAATATGGCCAATTTCATGAATGAAAACTTGGCACAGACCGTCTTGGCCTTTTGCATGTAGCAACAACACGCACACCCACACAGACGATTGAAGTGTGTAAGGAGCGAGCTGCTGTTGCTGCATGTCGCTGTTGCTGTTGCATGTTGCTGTTGCTGTTGCTTTTCTGGCAACATTATGAGTCTTGGCGACGCTTGTTGCAGCTGTAGCGCATTAACCTCGTTCACTCTGCTGCTGCTGCGGCGGCTGCTGCTGCTGCCTCACAAGCAAAATATTTACCAAAGTGATTAAGATGCCTGAGTAATTTTTAACACAATTACGCTGCCAAGCAGACGACGGCACTCAGTAGTCAGCAGTCGGCAGTCGGCAGTCGGCAGTCGGCAGTGAGCAGTCCCGGGTCTGCAATTGTGAGCTGCTGCTGCTGCCTGCTGCCTACCCCGTTGAATGGCTACTGTAGTTACACTGGCTCGGCGTCAGTTGCAGCTGCATTGCTGCTAATGACCAGGCCGAGCGAACGACGCAGCCACTTGCAATATAAACTGTGGCATTGTCTGACCAGCCAACTCCAACTCCAACTGCAACTCCAGCTCCAACCCCAGCTCGCCTCAGAGCTTCAGCAACAGCTAGCGCAGCTCGCAGCAAGTGCCATCGGCATCAGCATCAGCATCACGCGGACCCCCGAACTTTTGTATGCCTTGGCCATTAGCGTTTCCACACTACGCTGACTTTAATCGTAGCGCAGCGTAGACTGCGGCCAGGTGGAAGGAAGAGGCAGGAGGTAGTAAGCAGGAGGCGGCAGACGGCTGGCAGCAGGCAGCGGGCGGCAGGTTGGGGGTGTTTTACGCATCAGTGTTTTTTGACAGCTTCTTCTCGCCCGGCGCAGCATAATAAAAAAGTTAACGTTTTGTTGTGATTTATTGTATATGCGATTTTTGGCAGGTGTTGAGCAGCGCCATCAGCGCTCATCAGTGGCTGTGTTTGCTTGTGGCATGACTGCAAAAGCGATTGCAACGTGTGGCGCATTCAATGCTCAGTGGCTACCCAGTCGAGGCGCAACGCACGACAAGGCAACAATAACGTTAACGTATAACGCACCACCAGCATTAGCAACCGAAGAGGCCAGAGCAAAAGCAAAAGTCGTGATGCGTTTGGTTTAGATTCGAGCAGCACGATTTTTGTCGGCGTTAGCCACATTAACAATGTTGCCACAAACAACGACATTGCCGTTGCTGTTGCTGCTGCTGTTGCCAGCTCTCAATGCGAGCTGTTGACAAAGAGCAAAGGTCGCGATTTGCGAATTTGTTGGCCATTTGCTAATAATGTTTATACACTAGCATCGGGTGCAACGACTTTGTATTTAGGCTTGACTTGTGAGAGCTGACTAAAGCTCAATTGGAGCTGCGAATATAAACCTAAAGTCGCAGGCAAATTAAATATTAGTCTGAGTCTTTACTTTTCATTCAGACTAAATTCACCTCTGATTTTTACAACATCTCTAGATATCTAAAAAAAAAAACAAGTAAGAAAGCTCCAGTCGAGACTGCTCGACTAGGAGATACCATGAACCCTCCAAGCTGATATTCTAATCATTCTGCACTTCTTTTATGCACACATACATACACATGCATCCACACGCACGCATAAGCCTACATTAAAAATTTGGAGACTCTAGCAATAAAGGTGTAGAAGATATAATTTTATAACTGGTTTTCGATAAGGTTTTTTATCGATAAAAAAAGATCGGGATGAGTTANAAAAAAAATTTGAAGTCTCTAGCTCTTATATCTTCTGAAATCGACGCGTTCATACATACGGACGGACGGACGGACGGACGGACGGACGGACGGACGGACAGACAGACGGACAGGGCCAAATCGACTCAGCTCGTCGTCCTGATCAAGAATATATATACTTTGTGGGGTCTGCCACGCCTCCTTCTGCCTGTTACATACTTTTAACAAAACCATTATACCCTGATTTCCCATTTTCAATGGGTTCAGGGTATAACAAAAAAAAAAAAAAAAATCCAAAAAGAAAATGAAATAACCAAGCCGAGGACCCCAGCTGCCAATACTTAAACTTAAGTTAGCTGTAGTTTTTCATTGGGCCTATCTTGTTAATAAATAAATAATTAAATAACAAAAAATATTTATGGGAAAAGTAAATAAAATTATATTATACCCATCTAATTTTCGATGAGTTTGAGTTATGTTTTGATTTTTTGAATAAGCCAAGTCCATATTAATATCTGCTGTCTGTCTCTAAAGTTGAATACAAAATATAATATATACGATTTTCAATTAAACTAAGCGAATATGATTCAAGTTAGCTAAAGCGCGACTTGGCTTAGTCATCTTTTTCATCGGCTAAAATATATCATTTAGGGAAATTTGGCATCAGTTTACCTGTTTGCTACGACAAAATCGAAGTTTTCTTGGGCTAGTCCGAATTTCCTTTCCCATTGTAGTTGAGCAATGAAAATGAAAATGAGCGCGGCACGCGCTTAGCTGCCGCACGACTGGAAAATTACAGTGGTGAAGAGCTCCGCGCTTGGCTGAGCTCGCTGTGTTGGCAGGGGAATAGTAACTGAAAGGGGAACGGGAAGGGGAATAGCAAAGGAGTGTGAGTGCGAGTGTTGCAGCCACGTGTTGCGCATGCGCTTTTGGCCCCTAGACATGCAGTTGGACACGACGCGACGCCCTGAGCCTGAGCCAGAGCTAGAGCCAGAGCCTGAACCACAGCATTTGCGTTTGTCAGGGTCGACTGCATCGCGCGTTCGCTTCGTGCTCGGCACTTTGCAATTGTTCAGAAGCTCGTTCAGTTGTGCCGTTGCACGAAGCGACGCTTTGGCGTGAGGCAGAAGTAGCAGCAGCAGCAGCAGCAACACCTTCACTCTCTGCGGTTGAGGCGATAGTGCGATGATGTATGGCCTGAACCTGCGCTGTTTATGCCTCTACTTCTGGAACAGGCACAGCCACAGCCACAGCTAGAGTCGCAGCCCCTGCTCATGCCACTGCCACGGCCACGGCCACTGCCCCAAGCTCGACTGCTGCCTACTATTGTAGGCGTCAACTCACGTTTATGCTTTGTAGACATTATCGCGCCTGTTTATCTTTAAATTGCAAGTAAATTACGTTGGCTCGCGCAGCTTGATGTATTATGCTGGCTTGTTGAGTGGCCAGTGAGTGATTTGATGAGCTGAGCAATGGCCGTGGTGGGAATATGCCGTACTGCTCCAAGGCGCAATGAGAGCAATCGAGATGGATCGACAGAGAGAGTGAGAGAATGAGAGGGAGAGAGAGAGGGACAGAGAGAGTGAGAGTTGTGCACACAAAGATCTTTAAAAACAACCCGTTTATTCGAGCACTAGAAACTAAACGTTGTGCGTAATAAATTAGCTATGAAAGCGTCGTCATGCAGTTGGATAAGTGTTATGTGTTATGTGTGTGGGATGTGGTGCGGTGGTGTGGCGTGGTGGGGGAAATCTCTCAGTAATGCGTCTCCGTGATCCTGACTTTGCCGTATTTACCGTGCAAGTGGTGCTTGGCAAAGGCCAGCAGGTTGGCGTGGCTATGGACATCCAGGTGGGCGGGGTAGATGGTCTTGTGCACCACAGCGGCGTGGCTGTGGTGGTGCACCAGCGGAGCCGAGTGGTGGTGGTGCACCAGCGGAGCTGAGTGGTGGGCATAGTGGTGCAGATCGGCGTGGGCATGGGCGTGCGTATCGATGTGCGCGTTGTTGTGGATGATGTGATGATCGACCACGGGGTTCCTGTAGTGCAGGAAGTGGTGTGGCTCATCGTGCACCACCTTGTGCACATGATGGACTGGCTCCACTTCATGGATGGGCTCGTGGCTGACAATCTTGGCCGGAGCGTGCACATGCTCCAAATGGCCGTGGTGCACGTCGTGATCCAAGTGCGCAGAGTAGCCATCGTGGTGGTAGACGGGATGAGGCACAGCGTCCACGTGGTGGTCGTTACCATCGATCACTATGGCGGAGCTGTGGCCCAAATGAATGCCATCGGAATGGTGGATATCGCTGTCCACGTAGGGTGGCAGCTCCTCGTGGTGCACATCGTGCTCCAAATGGGGCAGCAGGCCAGCCTGAGCCACGCCCAGCAATGCCAAAGTGCAGATGAAGAACTAAAGAAAACTTTAACAGTTAAAAAGAATTCGGGAACCTCAATCTCCCGCCCCACACCCACCTTCATTGTGGAGATTTCACGCTTAATTCGAGTTATCCAAAGGTTAAGATTGACGGCGCGCCTGAGACACTTGTGCTGCTCTGCTGTTGTCGTTGAACTGTGCTCCAATCCGCTGCAGCCCACGCATTTTATAGCACTCAAAGGCAGCTGCAATCGTTGGCCAATAGCACGTGCAGCCCGGCGGGTCGAACTGCTGGCACGGTGGGTCGTCCCAGCCATTGAACGTTATCAAATGGCCAAGCAATGAAAGTAATGCGATGTGTGCCGGGGCAGCCAAGTGGCCGGCGTGCCTGGAATGCCCAATGAGCTTTGTCGTCACACTTCCAGCAGTCCCGCTCATTATGTAAAGAGCGCGCCGTGGTCAATAAACCATTTCCAGCTGGCCAACTCGTCGTGTCATAATTTGATGGCTCAATAGGCCTACCTCACCTTGCCAGGGGTTGCACCATTCTGGGCAGGTGTAGGCAAGGCCATCGGAGGCTTCGCTTCCACTGGCGCTCGCAGCGCATTTTGCAACCAATTTGGCAATCTGCTGCCAGTGAAAGCGTTAGCTCCAGCTGACCAACATATCATGCAGCATTTTTATAATGGCCAAAAATAATCCATTCACACAATTTGCATTGGGCACACACAATTCATAGCGCCTACGTGCGGAATTTGCCGGCGGCACACGATGTTCACGGCTTGCCAATATCTCCGTGTTTATATTGGCACGATGGTGCTAAAAACTAATGCTAGCAACTTGTGGGTGTTATCAGTCGTGACTTCCCCGATATTCGCGCCCTGCCAGCTGTGAATTGCCGCTTGTCAATAGGGAAACAAAACTCAGTTCAGATATCAAATAAATCAGCCCACCGAATAGTAAATACACTTGTAGTCGGGGCGTATTTCATTTATAGGGCAGCTAAACTAACATGACAACAGCTCAAAATAATTTTTTACTTTATTTTGTATATTTATTAGAAATTATAAATAATCTTAAATTAAGACTCACTTAAGAATTAATTACTGGAAACTAGAGACTTCAGCTTGAATGTAATACTTTATTCTGAGTTAATTCTATGCTAAACATAAATGTAAGAATCTAAAAATTCGTGATAGTTGAACACGCTATTCTTAATTATATTTGTAATTTAAAATTTACTTATAAAATAATTTTTTATAAAATTAAATGCAACTGCAATGCCAATTCTGCCTGGTGAATCTCTTACAGAACTTGTTTCAATAAATATTTTAACGAATTATTAAACGAATAGTTTTATTGAGGTCCAAGCATGGACATAATTAAACTATCTAAACGTAATAAATAAATTAAGCTATACTAATCTACAACAGTTAAATAATAAAAGAAAATATAAGAATAATAGAATTGAAGATATATAAGAAAAATGTATTCTCAAGCAATTAAAAAATATATGTAAGAATATCTGAGACCACTTTATGAATTTATTATCTTTTACTGGATTACTGTGTGTGCAGATCATGCCAAATATAAGTTCAAATAAATACAAATAGTCCAATGCAAGTTGGTAAAGGTGATATAAATCATTTCTTCTACAAATATTGGATTAAGGGATGTCAGGATAGATTGCTTAACATTTTACAAGCCATATCTATTTTTACCATGTGCACGCTATTAATTATTAATTATTAAGGTAAACCAAATAACTAAGTATACTAACTAGTTTAAAGCAACAGTTTACTCTTGTAAGTATTTAATTCGTGATTGACGACACAATTTATAAATTATATAGTTATTCGAAATTTAAGTACATATCATAATAGCAAAAGGCATCACAATTAAGTCTGGGCAGAAAAAAAAAAAAATAAATAAATAAATAAATAAAAAATTAAATAAGGTATTGCGAGTTATTAATGTATAAATAAAACCATTATTTTTCAAATTTATTATTATTATTACTAATTTTTTATTTTTATAAACTTTTTTTCACATGACATTATTTTTAGTAATATTTTTTTTTTATTAATATTCAATTTAAATTAAATCTATTTAATAGATGAATTAATATAATTTGATTATTTCTTGGGTAATTGAATCGCATTTACACAAAACTGTGAATTGGGGATTAGTGACACATTTCCTGTTTTTCTTTAGTTTGAAAATTATCCTTTGATTTTTAGGCTGAACATTATCCCTATGTACACTATGCCCTTAAAAATAAATATAATATAGTATAACTTTTTCTATGCCGAGTTTCTCTTACGCTAAGTATTGATAATACAGCGATTGTAATACAATATTTTAATATTTCCACTTGTATGATCTGAAGACATTAAAATTCGCATAATTTCTATAAAAAAATTTGTATACATATCTAAGCATGTGTTCATTCGTCATGGCGATTGCATTTCCTGTCTAGACGGCAGACACGTTCCGTAGATTATGAAAAACTGAAGGCAGTTAGCTGGTGGAGCCGCAGAGTCAAAGCCAGGCCAAGATAAGTCGAATCCAAAGTGGGTCAGCCTGTGGCTAATTACATAATAATTTGGTCAACTTGATCACGTTGCTAATGAGCAGCGTTGTATGCAAGGTGGTAAGTCCATGGAGGCGGCTGGCAGCGGGGCGAGGGGCCCCAACTATCGCAACTATCGTTTTGGGCGGCGTCAACACCCCGAAAACTACATAGAGCCGTACGTGCGGCACATGTGCAATGGGGCCCAGAGTGGAACTTGAAAAGCGGCGATCGACTTAAAATGCCCGCCAGGTGCCCACGCGACGCGCTTGTCGTCGACCTGTCCACAGATTTGAGTGCGAATTTGTTTTGGTTTCGATAGAAGCGCAAACGCAATTTGTACGCCTGACAAATACTCGAACATTTCCAATGAATTTTGCGTACGAATTTGACAATTCTTGGCGCTGTCTTTACTACTCGCGCTCTTTCGGTCTTTTGGAATTGCCAGTTCCTGTCTGTCGGTTTGTCTGTCCGTGTGTTGGTCTCTTTGCCAGTCGTTCCGTGTGTCTTACACCTGCCCCAACAGCCAATTAGTTGCAAAAGTATCTCCGTCCCATGCAGCGGGCTGCGATCGCAGTTTGCAGCTCGCAGCTCGCAGCTCGCAGCTCACATCTCAAGGGGCGGGCAGTGCAGCAATTGTAATTAGACGGGGCAGCAACAACGTTGACGGCAACTTATTTCAATATGCAAATTATTGTTAGACTAGCATAGAAAAAATCTACATAAAGCAGCGCCGRCGAGCAGCAGCAGCAGAAGCAGAGGGAGACAGCCACACAGACAAAAAGCTGTATGGGAAAAGAGAGAGAAAGAATATACGAAAATAAAAATAATAAAAAAATCTATAATTTATTTGCACAAAAATGACGGCAAAGTAGTTGGTGGTGCGGGTGCGGGTGCGGGTGCTGGTGGTGGTGGCTGCTTGTAATTGAGTGCATCGTTTGCGGGGCAACATTAGCGGGGCGGTGGGTAGCAGGTGAGAGTGAGCTGTATTAGCGACGCTGCCAACAACTAATTTAATGCCAGCGGCAACAGCAACAGCAACAGCAACAGCAACAAACAGCAGCAGCAACAACAGAGACGGCAACATGTCAACGGCAACGCCTGCTGCCTGCTGCCTGCTGTCCGTCGCCTGCGGACTGCAACGAGGATGATCCCATTGATGGGGGCGCTTGACAGGCGGGACGGGCGAGGCGGCAGCACTTTGTGCATATTTTATGCCTGCGGCTCTCCGGCTGCGGTGTCCATTGTGGGCAGCTCTGCACACGGGGCTGAAATAATTTTGCATCACATATTTTGTCGACCACAAATCAACGGCATGAGATATTTGATGGTAATTAATATTGTAAGTAAAACGTATTATGCTTTTGAATAAATGGCTCTGCTGCACTTAATAGCTCCTGGCTACAGAGTCATACATGCTAGATGCAAATGACGAAATGCCATGGAAAGCGGCCAATGAGTAAGTTTTTAGGAATTTATTCGTTGAGAACTCAAAAATTATTTTTACAGCCAGAGCCCATGGACATTGGGAATTTAGTGTAGAATGATTATATTTTATAATCCACACGTATCTAAAAGACGAAAGCAGGCTTGATCTCATAATTTATAACTAAGAATATAGCTAAGAATAACAATCGAGTCGACAAAGTTTGTCCAGTTTGTCCGATTTGATTTTGTAGGCTTTCCAGTAGAGCATTTAAATTTCTTTGTTTTTATACCCTGAACCCATTTTCAATGGGAAATCAGGGTATAATGGTTTTGTTGAAATGTATGTAACAGGGAGAAGGAGGCGTGGCAGACCCCACAAAGTATATATATTCTTGATCAGGGTGACGAGCTGAGTTGATTTGGCCCTGTCCGTCTGTCTGTCCGTCTGTCCGTCTGTCCGTCTGTCCGTNCATGTTATAATCATAATCTGAAAGTTTCATGAAGATCGTACGTCCATAAAAAAAGTTATTAAACAATTAAGTTCTCATAGTAAGCGCACACTGCAGCCCATGCGTGTTTATGCGTGGGTGCTTGTGTGTGTATGTGTTTGTGTATGTGTGTGTATGTGTTTGTGTATGTGTGTGTGTATGTGTGTGTGTATGCGTTTGTGTATGTATGCGTGTGTGTGTGTCTGTGTGCGTGTGTGTGTATGTATGCCTGTGTGTGCGTACGTGCCTGTGTGTGTGTGTGTGCGTGTTTCTTGTGTAAGATGAAGGACGCGAAAAATTATTGAAATATCTATTGCTCCAAGGGTTCAGGGGATCTCGTAGTCGAGCAGTCTCGACTAGAGCTTTCTTACTTGTTTAATTAATAGCCTTACTATCAAGCTTATCTCGAATCATATGTCTTTAGTCCTTAAAGCTAAAATCTCTAAATCGAACATTTTTAATGAATTGTTTATTTTTGATATCAGCTTCAAATTTCATAAAATCGAACCTTAGCTGGAAACAAATTTAATATAAAGCTTCTTCGGTCATTGGACTCTATATTGGAGACTAGTTCAAATATTCAATATATATTTCACATGTTCAATATATCACACACATATTAAT